ACCACCTCAGTTTGCATGATTTCAGCATTTATGTTAGCACAGAATTGTACTGGAATTCTTTCCTTCTCTGGAAAGGAATGAGAAAAGAATGAGTAAAAGGCCCAGCGCATTGCCTGGGAGAAGCTCCTCTGCAGAAAAGCATGGGACTGGGGAAAAGGCTCCCCACTAACAGCAGCAAAACAAGCCAGAAAGTGTGCAATGCCTCCCAATGCCCTGGGATTCCTACCCTCCAAGCACAGATGCTCCTCACCTGACAATAGACTTATGTTCTGATAACCCCATTGTGAGTTTAAAATACGGTAAGTTGAAAGTGCATTTAAGGCTGGGCGTGGTGGCTGACGTTTGTAAGCCCAGCATGTTGGGAGGCCAAGGTGGGTGGATCATGAGGTTGGGAGTTCGAAATCAGCCTAGCTAATATAGTGAAACCCTGTCTCTACTAAAAAAGAAAAATTTAAATTAGCCGGGTGTGGTGGTACACACCTATAGTCCCAGCTACTCAGGAGGCTGAGGCAGGAGAATTGCTGGAACCCAATAGGCAGAGGGTGCAGTGAGCCAAGATTGAGCCACTGCACTCCAGCCTGGGCAACAGAGTGAGACTCTGTCTCAAAAAAAAAAGAAAGAAAGAAAGAAAGTGCATGTAACTTAATACGCCTAATCAAGCCAGGGATGGTAGCTCATGCCTGTAATCCCAGCACTTTGGGAAGCCAAGGCAGGTGGATCACAAGGTCAGGAGTTCAAGACCAGCCTGGCCAACATAGTGAAATCCTGTCTCTACTAAAAATACAAAAAATTAGCCAGGCATGGTGGCTGTTGTAACCAAGCGAGTTAGAAGGAACACACCACGCTCTGATTTCCAAATTCATAGTCCTTTATTGATTTGCCGGCAATGGAGAGACGGCTAATGCTCAAAATTCTCTTGGCCCCGAGGAAGGGGCTTGATTGTCTTTTATACCTTGATTTAGGTAGGGGACGGGGAGCCTAGCTGAAGTGGAATTTTACAGAAGCAGAAAAGCAAGTTAGAGGAAGGGGCTGTAGGCACAGGTGTCACCAAGAAGAGGGGTGTTCAGCCTCCTTCTACACAATGATCAAAGGGAAATTTTTTTCTTACAATAGCAGGCAGGAGTGGGGGAGGTGTATGCCAAGCAGGATGCAGTTACAATGGTTACAAGTGTTAGGAACAGCAAGCTTCAATGCTTCTAAGTGCAGCATGACCCAGTTATGCACTCAGAGGTGCTGTGATAGGGAGGGGGAAGCCAGGTTGGAGCTAAGATGGATTCAGTGATGCTAGCCCAGGGTAGGTTATTACAGTGACAGATGGCTGTAATCCCAGCTACTGGGGAGGCTGAGACAGGAGAATCACTACGTGAACTCGGTAGGTGGAGGTTGCAGTGAGCTGAGATCACACCATTGCACTCCAGCCTGGGTGACAGTGAGAGACTCCATCTCAAAATAAAAAAATACACCTAACCTATTGAATGTTCCAGTGTAGCTTAGTCTACTTCAAATGTGCTCAGGACGCTGACATTACATTACAGTTAGACAAAACAATTGAATGCAAAGCCTATTTTAGAATAAAGTGTTGAATATCTCATGTAATTTATTGAACCCTGTACTGAAAGTGAACAACAGAATGGTTGTGTCGATACTTGAAACACACTTTCTACTGAGCTACCTATTGCTTTTACACCCATCACAAAGTAAAAAAAAAAAAAAAAAAAAATCATAAATCAAACCATCATAAGTCAGGGACTGTCTGTAGTTCGCCACATATGTGAAAGACAAGTCAAATAGATACCAAAAGAAGAAAATTCAGCAGGATTTATCAAGCATTGACAATATGCAAAGCCCTAGGCTAGGTACTGGGAATACGGGAATAAATTCACACTCTAAGTGACCAAGCCTGGGATCAAACCCTACCACTGTCTCATTGTGGGCCTTGAAGAGTTTTATGGTATAAACATTCAACTACTTTGGAGAAAAATCCTTCTTTGATAAGGATATTTAGATAAGGAGTTTTTCCCCCTTATCTAAATATAATCTAGGCATTTACACTGAATTGTGGGGATTCAGTAGAGAAGGAAACAGAGTTTCCACCATCATAACTCTGCTTTTGGAGAACACCCTAAGACCAGCTCCACCCACCAGAGAAAAATTCTAGATGGGGCCGGGTATGGTGGCTTATGCCTGTAATCCCAGCACTTTGGGAGGCTGAGGTGGGCGGATCACTAGGTCAAGAGATAGAGACCATCCTGGTCAACATGGTGAAACCCTGTCTCTAAAAAAAAAAAAAAAAAAAAAAAAATTCTAGATGATATATTAAAGTTCCCTGCACTCTATTATCCTATGATTTTTCTTTATTTTTTAATTTTTTTAGAGACGGGGTTTCACCATGTTGGTTAGGCTGGCCTTGAACTCCTGACCTCGTGATCCACCCACCTCAGCCTCCCAAAGTGCTGGGATTATAGGCATGCACCACCGTGCCTGGCCCCTATGATTTTTCTTTAACTCTCTTGGCCTCTTGCTTCTTTGAGCTCCTAAATTTCATGCATTATATGAGTTTCCTTCTGGTCATGCTACACTTATTGTACCTATAGGTACATCTTCCCTCTGGAAGCCTTCCCTGTAGCCTCAGCAGGCTGGGCTTTGTGGTTTTGTGCTGTGCTCTTGGCACTCTTCGTGGGTTCTGTCAGTGGGTGAATCTCATTTTATATGCCTCATTTGAGTGCAGGGGCAGTTTCTCATTGAACTTCACACCCTCTAACACCAATCACAGTACCTGGAATAGAATAGGCACTTAATAAATACTTGTTGCACTGAGCAATCTGTAGGGGCCAAGATGGAAAGTTTTCCCTTAGCCCTCTTAAGTTTCACTACAAAATCTACTTGCAAAAGGCAGATTAATTGGAGAAAAGGCATATAAATGTATTTAATGTATATACCTGGGAGCCTTCAAATGAAGACCCAAAGATACAGAGGAAATTGTCCATTTTTCTGCCTAGGTTCAACAAAGTATGGGCACTGGTGTATAAATATGATTGGACAGAAAGGGTATGATCTAAGACTAATAGAGAGGGAAAACCCAGCAAGTCTGTCTGTCTAGATGCTTCTTGGCCTCTCTGAGCACACACCCTTTCCTTCTGGGTATGGACAGGAGCCCCTCTGGAAATGGGAGTCTTATGACCTACAGTCAAACAAGGGAAGTCAGATAAGTCTTTATGGCCAGATTTTACACAGAATAGCAGAGGGAAAGTGCCCACAGTCACGGTATTAATTCCCTAGGGATGCCTTTACAAAGCACTTGGTGACTTAACAGAAATGTCTTGTCTCACATTTCTGGTGATTCGAAGTCCAAAATCAAAGCATCAGCAGAACCAAAAGCCAAGCTCCCTCTGAAATCTGCAGGGGAGGATCCTTCCTTGTCTCTTCCTAGCCTCTCTCTGGTTGTGGCAGGCAATCCAGCCGCATTCCTGGGCTTACAGCTGCGTTACTCCTATCTGCCCCTGTCCCGCCACATTCCCGTCTTTCTCTGTCTTCCTGTGGCATTTGACACCGTGTGATAAGGACATCAGTCATGTTGAATGAGGGTCCACCCCAGTGACCACGTCTTGACTTGACTATATGTGTAAAGATGCAGTTCCCAAGTTCGGTCGCATTCATAGGTGCTGGAGATTAGGTCTTCAATATGTCTTTGGGAGTGGGAACACAGTTCAGTCCGTAGCACCCCTGTTGTATGGGTAGTGCGCTTGGGATCCAGCCAATAGACCTGTTTATTTACTGCAGTCAAAATACCTTCTCCCCTTCCTCCTCCCAGCCCAATGACACAGAGGTGCTTTGTGGGCAAGACATTTGCAGGGCGTGGCCATCATTCTAAGCATGCGGAGCTCCAGGCACCTTCCAACCTCTCTTCAATGAGTTTGCGCCCCCGACCCTCGCTAATGTCCTAGGGAGCCAGTCTTCTGTTACGTAATTAGACAAGTCTTGAAATAAGCACTCAGGGGCGTGGCTGAAGACTTTAAGAAACACCAGGCGGCCGAAGCGGGTGGATCACGAGGTCAAGAGATTGAGACCATCCTGGTCAACATGGTGAAACCCCGTCTCTACTAAAAATACAAAAAATTAGCTGGGCATGGTGGCCTGTGCCTGTAATCCCAGCTACTTGGGAGGCTGAGGCAGGAGAATTGCCTGAACCCAGGAGGCGGAGGTTGTAGTGAGCTGAGATCGCGCCATTGCACTCCAGCCTGGGTAACAAGAACGAAACTCCGTCTCAAAAAACAAAAAGAAACACCAGGCGGCCGGGCGCGGTGGCTCACGCCTGTAATCCCAACACTTTGGGAGGCCGAGACGGGTGGATCACGAGGTCAAGAGATTGAGAACATCCTGGTCAACATGGTGAAATCCCGTCTCTACTAAAAATACAAAAAATTAGCTGGGCATGGTGGCGCACGCCTGTAATCCCAGCTACTCAGGAGGCTGAGGCAGGAGAATTGCCTGAACCCAGAAGGCGGAGGTTGCGGTGAGCCGAAATCACGCCATTGCACTCCAGCCTGGGTAACACGAGCGAAACTCCGTCGCAAAAAAAAAAAAAAAAAAAGAAAGAAAGAAAAAAAAAGAAACACCAGGCAAAGGGGAGAGGAGGTACCAGAGATACTCAACATTATTTGAGTGGCAGTAGCTTCTTGTGACCCTCGACGAGATAGAGACATCACAGCCGACGAGAGTTTGGGACAAATGATCCCGAGTCCACAGACTCCCCAGACTCGGAGGCCGGGGCAGAAGGGGACCCGGGGCCACGTTGGGTGGGGGGGAACCCAAGGCGGGGAAGGCCCGGGCCGCCGGCAGGGGGCGCGCGAGGGCCTCCGGGCGCCGCGAGTGGGGCGGGAGCTGGGGCAGGAGGGGCCTTAGCGCAACTTTTTGGTTGGTGCCGCCCTGCCCAGGCCCCTTTTAAACTTGATCTCCGCGGTTCCCTTCCTTTTTCTGTCGCGGCGGGTGACTGGGTAAGTGGGCTCCGACCTGCCGGACGCGGGAGCCGGCCATGCGGCTCCAGGTCTCCCCATTGCCCTTTATCAGCGCGCCCCTCGCGGCCCCCTTGCCCGCCCCGGCCTCGGCCCGGCGCCGCGGGGAAGCCTCCGTTAGGGCTCCTCGGGGGTGGGGGGCGTCCTCGTGGCTCCTGGGCCCTTCGTCCTGGGTTGGGACGGCCGTTGTCCTCGTGCGCTTGAAGGGGCAGCTCCCCTTCCTCGAGGATCTCACCCCCACCCAGCAGAAGCTGCCAGGCGCCGGTCACCGCCGGCCCGAGTCCCTGCAGTCCACGGATCCGGCCTACAGGCAGCTTTTAGTCCCTTTTCAATTAAAGAAATGGTTGCATTTTGAGGATCAAATTCCGACCGCGGGCGGAGGCGCCGAGTCCCGGGTCTCCAGGTTCTTGGCGCACCCGGGGCTCCCGCCTGACCGCGCGGGCGGACGTTGCCTATTTAGGAAGTGAGTGAGATCCGAGGTCTGAAGCGCTTTAAGATTCCAAGGGGGGCAGTATAATAGCGGGGTCACCAAACACACGGAGGTCACTTCACTCGCGCAGCCACCAGCACCCACCATCAGTGCGGTTCAGTCGCTACTGGCCTGCAGTCGGATAATTTAAAAGGCCCGGAGGGACGCGTCTTGCTGGAGCCGAGGCCGGCAGTGAGTTGAGCAGAGCCCTGTGAGCCCTAATAAGGGAGCCTGCGGTTTCCTCCTCAACATGTTTTTCAGCGTGGCCAGAGCGTTGTACAACACAGGGCCAGCTTCCAACATTTTCAGTGTGAGGAGGCCCTTCCTGGTTTTCTGTCCTGGGAAATGTTTGAACTACTGGGTTGAGTGGGACAAGGACAAGGCGTTGAACGCCTAACGTTTGTCTGCTAAGGTGCAGGAATACGCAAGGCTGCCCTAGAGAACGTTTGTCTCGGGAAGGGGAGTTTTTGGAGCGGCTCTCTTAATTGTTCATTACTGGTACAAATTGCCATATAAAGGGATACTTTGCAAATTTAGTAAAATCAATAAAGATCTAAATTTAGATTTGAGTCATCAAAGGAAAGAATCTTTGTGGCTATCATAGGTACCACAGTTTTCTGTTGAAATGTGAAGCTTGTGGTTTGTGTTTTCCTCAGTTGTGAAAGATTGCTGCCTTTTTAATGAAACCAAATGCTACCCATTTTACCATGCTTTAACAAGGAAAACTTGAAGGTTTGCAGTCTAGGTTCTAGGCACCTTTTTTCCAGCGTTATAGATGGACCCAGAGCATAGACAATTTTCTTTCCCTGGAATAGCTCCAGCTCTGGCGAATAGCCACATACAGCACAGGAAGATGGCAGTGGTGAGGCTTTGTTTTACCATTGCTTTATGTATTAGGGATTCTTATTGAGTCAAACTGTTTTAACTATTCAGTTTAAACTGTGAGAGACACCATGTCAAGGAAGCAGCGTGAGCTAGTGGCTACTTAAGGATTGTGAAAACTGAGCAAGTTCCCAGAACTAGAAACTTCTCAGCTCCCCTGAACTCAGCCTCAGGGTAAACGAGTTTAGTGCTTCCTTTGATTTTTTTTTTTTTTTTTTTTTTTTTTTTTGAGACTGACTCTAGCTCTGTTGCCCAGGCTAGAGTGCAGTGGCACGATTTCAGCTCACTGCAACCTCTGCCTCCTGGGTTCAAGTGATTATCCTGCCTCAGCCTTCTGAATAGCTGGGATTACAGGCATGGCTACCACACCAGGCTAATTTTGTATTTTTAGTAGAGACAGGGTTTCTCCATGTTGGCCAGGCTGGTCTCAAACTTGTAACCTCAGGTGATCTGCCCACCTCAGCCTCCCAAAGTGCTGGGATTACAGGCATGAGCCACTGCACCCAGCCTATTCCTTTAATCTTTAAATCTGTGGAAGGTTGTTTTGTTTATCCTAGGCAAATATTGTTGGGATAGTGTTTCTTTTCCAAAATGGTGCTGATGAATGGAAAGATGGTGACTTGACCATTTTTTCTCCAAGCTGGAAACTACAAAAGACTCCCAAGTGCCAGGAAAAATTTGGAGAATGTAGCTTTGTACAGGAATTGTATTCAGAGATAGCAATTTATTTACTCATCAAAGGTAGCTAGTGGATAGCCACTATAGAGACCACTCCATGAAAAACAAAATTGCATGATATCCTTAACATTGTCTTTCATTTTTTTTAACCAGGTGTGGTGGAGTTTCAAGATGCTGATTAACTTAAGGTATGGGCCAAATGGAAAGAATTTGGGTTAAGTTATTAATAGTTAAATTGAAATCCTGGCCAAGGATGAGAACTCTAATCTGATTTCATATGCTTCTGCTCTGATGGATTAAAGGATTTACCTGAGGCCAACTTGATATGCAGGAATTTATTAGATGGAATCACACCACTCCCCCTTTAGATAAACATGGGGAAAAGCTCTTAGTAAATAGATAATACTACTAAGTCAAGAGAAAAACAGGATTTTGAGTAAAAAAAATAAATTCAGATGTCACAACATTGTGTAAGACAGCAACAATGTGTAAGATACTGGGGAATATTATATACTTACCTGCACAGTTTTCGTAAACATAGTCTAGAGAGTACTGTATCTTGCTATTTAGTAATACCTACTGTGATTTTTTTTTTACAGGTCTGGTGCTTGAAAGAATCAGTGAAGCTTTTCAAGTAGATGAGATATATTTGGATATGTTACCTTTAGTATCTACAGAATAGAGGTGGCTTTTTTTGGTTGTTCTTTTCATAGTGGTAGCAAGGGTGAATTTTGAGATGGCCCCAACCATCTATAAGAATATTACCTGACAGTTTTGTGTCTCTGCCTTATAGTTGAGTTGATCCTGTAGAAAACTTTTAATGGAATTCAATTTCATTATTTAAAGTAGTTTTTCTATGAACCAGCTGTGGTCTGTGACTTGACAGTGTTAATACCAAAGAGCAATACCTTAATCACGGTTCATACACTCAACAAAGACATGACTTAACTCTAAAGATTGTTAAGATTGTTATTTTATAGTATAGTTTTTTTCTTTCTGTAGTTTATGAGATCTGAGTCTTTTTAAAATTTTTTTTAGGCTCCACTCTTGTTTCCCAGGCTGAAGTACAGTAGTGCGATCTCAGCTCACAGCACCATCTGCCTCTTGGGATCATTCTCCTGCCTCAGCTTCCTGAGTAGCTGGGATTACAGGCACATACCACCACGCCTAGCTAATTTTGTATTTTTACACATTTTTGTTTTGAGTCCTGCTAGCACCCAGGCTGGAATGCAGTGGCACAATCTCGACTCACTGCAACATCCACCTTCCAGGTTCAAGTGATTATCCTGCCTCAGCCTCCCAAGTAGCTGGGATTACAGGCTAATGTTTGTGGAGATGGGGTTTTACCATGCTGGCCAGGCTGGTCTCAAACTCCTGACCTCAGGTGATCCGCCTACCTCGGCCTCCCAAAGTGCTGGGATTACAGGCACGAGCCATCACGCCCACCCAGTATATTCTTAAAGTATCTCACTTTTTAAAAAAATTGGTTTGTGTATTTTATGTGCTTATACATTTTTCCATAGTACTGTAGATCATTTTAGTGATTAAATTTGACACTTGACAGAAAAACAAGTCAGTGAGTTCCATAGGATCAAAAAGGGGTTGATTGCAAATGGACAGGAGGGAATCATTAGAGTGATTATACAGTTGTTCTGCATCTTGATTATGGTATGACTGTATTTGTCAAATCTTAACAGGATGAATTTTACTGAATGTAAAATCATACTTCAATAAACATTACTTTATAAAAACTTAACCCTCCTTGGCATTTCAGTGGCATTTCTGGTGAAGTCTATGTATGGCAAGGTGGTTTGGGGGTCATTATTTACATTAACTGCCAAGTTGAAATAGCAAAAATGCATCAAAGTCACTCTTGGGAAATAAGTCACAGAGGTGACTCATGCACACAATAAATACTTGAGAAGCAGGGCCAATGGCAGTTATATATCGGCACGCTCATCAGTACTGTGAAAATTCCTCTTCTGGACGGCAACAACACTGCTGTATCCACTTCACAGCAGCATTTTTCTTTATGTTCTTCCCATGTATGAAACCAACCTAAAAATAAAACTGTCTCATGTAGTGGGGCAGAGCCAAGAAAGCCAAAGGGTGCTGGATTTGCAGTCCTGAAAATCTAGTGGTCTCTGGATCACAGCAGCAATTTAAGTCTCATCTGTGATGTGTCCATTGCAGTGGCTATGAGGTGGCACAAAGTAGGATATGGAAAATCTGTCACGTGCGGTTACTCTGAATACTATGGCTTTCCTGCAGTATTGCTTTCCACATTGGCTGTTTCCCATTCCAAGAAAGCTTAGGATGTTCTTGACCAATACTGGCTAACCAAGAAATTAGAAAAATGAAAGGACGCGGAGTAATTTGTTTGGGGTTGAAACGGGTTTATGCTGCATAAACCACATGGTTGACTCTGAAAGACTGGCTGAAAAGAGCCAGTCTGCGTTCCTTGTCCTTACTGCCTTAGAGTAATCAAGGATGCTTCTTAAAAATGATAGATTCAAGTATGGGTTGTGAGTCATTGTTCTTTTCTGTATGTAATAGGTCTAACTGCAGGGCCTGTTGAGCCCTGCCCTGACCAAGTATTTGCTGACATAACAGTTGTCATCTTGCCTGTATGAGCAAAGTACTTCAGATGTCCCTTATGATTCTAAGTTTGATACCTTCCCTGCCACTCCCTCACTACCAAATCTCCTTAACTTATACCCTAGGAATGCAGAGTTGTCCAATATAGAACCCTGGTTAAGCATAGCATCACCCAGGAAAATGGAATGAGTGGTTACAGTCAGTGCCACAGTTCTGCAGAATCAACTTGCCTTCCTTAGTACAGTGCCCAGTCCATAAAAGCAGAAATGGACTATTAAGCCACCATTTTGTACTCCAGCGCCATGAAGAGAAGTAAACCTGGAGTTGAATGAAATGTTTTCGTTTAAAGAGGACTTAAACTAATTTCAAGTGTGAAACTTGGGCATGTGAATTTTTAATTATGACTATAAAAGAAATTGTCATTAGAATTAATTTTTATGCTAATGGTTATGATTTCATTGAAAGTAGAAAATCTTATTTAAGAACTCTGGTCACCAAACCTTCCCAGGTAGTGACGTAAAACCCAGTGTAACAATTGTGGTATTGACATGACATGTCAGTTCATGTAGATTGAGTCACAGTTTGATTTCAAGAATGGCCATATCCCATTTTATCTTACTCTGCAGTGTTTCTAAGCACTTGAATACAAATAGACTGTTTCCTTAAAGTAGCCAAATCTTTGCAGTTCAAGTGAATATTTCAGACTAAAATATGTGTCTTTTGAAGGTCCTTAAGCCTTAGACATTTAATTATATAATTTGGCAAATGTTTACTGTTTTGTTGTGTTAAGTCCTGTGAGAGAGACAAGTCCTACCTTTCTGCAGCTTTCACAGTGTGACTCATTTCAGTATGTAAGTCAGAGCCAGTTTTAATAGCATGTGCTTTGGTTGACTTCTGTTGTAAGAAATACTTTCATTTCGTGTCAGGGTCAGTATCTGAAAGATTAAATTGTTAAGGCAAACTGAAAAGATGTAGTTATACCTTCCCACACCACATTCCCAAAATAATTTAGGGTGGTTTATAACAAATATCAAGCAACAATAATTAGCAGATAAAAGCTCAGCAAGTAGAAAGCAAGAATTAAAAAACTAAGCTATTAGACCTCATGCAGTAGGCTCTGGCCAGGTTGGCTCCGAGCTTCCTAAGAACAAAGAGCCAACTGGCAAGTTAGTAATCTGACAATTGCCCTAATTTTCTAACGGAGGAGGGGAATGGAATGCACTTTGCATTCTAAGCTCCCTTGAGCAAAGTGAGGATGCTTTCTTCATGGTCCCAAGTACTCTACTTTGAAGGAAGGAATGGATCAGAAGGTGTCTGCATAACTAAATGGGGATCTAGAGAAAATGGAGGCTGCCTCTGGAGCAGGGTGCTCAGTGGACCAGATGACCTGGTGGGTCTGGGTCAACTCAGCTCATTGTCAAGCCAAAACTGGGGATATCTTTCCTCTTGAGGAGACAAAAGCCATGCTCAGTTTCTGTGAACAGATAGCCAGAGATCTGTTTGAAAGGCTTATTTTCATTTTGTACTAGAAAACATTGCCTTTCCAAAATTTACTTTGTGTTCATAAACTGGAAAGTTCTGATGGCAATATTTTGTTATACTGACACTGATCACAATCCAGGATTATGCCACCATGACTAGAAGGCCCCCTCATGGAGTTTATCTGCACTGCAAGGGGCCAATTGTCTCGGAATCATCCTCCAGTGACATCTGCATCTCCAGGACAGCTCCACACCAAACTGTTTCAAAGACACAGACAAAATCCGGCCAAATCAGTTTGATGTATGTTTCTGGGAATAGAGCCGAAGGTTGTAGCTGAGGGAATGAAGTCTCATACGATTGGTTTTGCAGCTGGACAAGTTCCCTGCCATGTTACTGCTACTCTTTAAGGCAGCATAGAGCATATTGTGTCATTTATATGCCTCTCACAGTGAGAAATATGTGGAACTTAGGGAATCAGAGTCTAAAACTGCAGTCCAATGGGGTAGCCACTAGTCATGTATACTACTGAGCACCTAAAATGTGGCTAGACCAAGTTGACATGTGCTGTAGGGTGAAAAACAGGAGTGAAGAATTGACTTGAAGGAATGTAAGTGATCTCAATTTTATATTGATTGCAAATTAAATGATGTTTTGAATATATTGAGTTAAATCCTTTTTTTCAGATACATGGTATACATTATATTGGACAGTACTGGTCTAAAACAGTTGATTCACCCTCTAGTAGAGAGAAAAGTATTGCTGTTTTACCATATAGGAACTTCAGGGAAAAGAAGAATAAAATTAGTACTTGAAAATGCAAAATTTAAGGTAAACAGATATTTTTTGAAGGGCAGAAGGTGCAGGGGTAGAGAGTCAGCACTACTTAGAAGATTTGACATAAATTCTTCACTCGAGCTGCTAGTACTTTTGGAGATTTTATTTTATTTTTGAGATGGAGTCTCTCTCTGTTGCCAGGCAGGAGTGCAGTGGCATGATCTCAGCTCACCACAACCTCCGCCTCCAGGGTCCAAGCAATCCTCCTGCCTCAGCCTCCCAAATAGCTGGGATTACAGGTGCCCACCACCACACCCAGTTAATTTTTGTATTTTTAGTAGAGATGGGGTTTTATCATCTTGGCCAGGATAGTCTCTATCTCTTGACCTAGTCTCTATCTCTATCCACCCAGCTTGGCTTCCCAAAGTGCTGGGATTACAGGTGTGAGACACCACGCCTGGTCTGGAGACTAAATGAAAGACTTCAGAGTGTATTTAGTAAACACTTTACTATGCCCACTTTGCAAGCATTTGTGTGTTCACTAAAACAATCAAGAGCAGGCCAGGTGCAATGGCTCACACGATAGCTCCCGTCCAGCACTTTGGGAGGCCAAGACGGGAAGACTGCTTGAACTCAGGAATTTGAGACCAGCCTGGGCAACATGGCAAGACCCCATCTCTAAATAAATGTTAAAAAAAAAAAAACTTTTTTTTTGAGATGGAATCTTGCTCTGTCACCCAGGCTGGAGTGCAATTGTAGTCTTGGCTCACTGCAATCTCCTGGGTTCAAGCAGTTTTCCTGACTCAGCCTCCCAGTAGCTGGGATTACACATGCACACCACCATGAGTGGCTAATTTTTGTACTTTTAGTAGAGATGGAGTTTTACCATATTGGCCAGGCTGGTCTCAAGCTTCTGACCTCAAGTGATTCACCCACCTTGGCCTCCCAAAGTACTATGATTATAGGTATGAGCCACCATGCCTGACCCCAAATATTTTTAATTAAGAAAAAAATCAAGAGCAAGAGGACTTGGTATGCTGCATGTCATCACAATACAACTTCCTTAATGGAAAACCATATAAAGGATAATTCTAGTTTCTTGATCCCTGATACAGTTGGGTGTGTGTGTACTAAAGTGTCTTTCAAGTTTTGTTTTTTTGGTGTTTTGTTTTGTTTTGTTTTTAATGGAAGGGAAGAGATTGTGGCAACTGGCACCATAAATAATACCTTGTATAAAGCACCCTTTTTAAAGATTACCTTACGTTATGTAAAATGTTCCATTAAATTTTCCCTTTCCTGTCTTCACTTTGTGCTCTAAAAAACAGGTCTGTGGGAATTCTCCTTTGGTAGTTTCTTTGCTACTAATAATGACATTTTGTCTTTTTGTGTTTAATAGTAATTGAATTCTTCCCTGAGTTTTCACGTTTCTCTTAAGTAGTTGTTCTTAATAGTGACTGGGGGCCAGGGGAAAAATTTGTCCCTCTCGGGGGAGTACAAACTAGAAAAAGAACCAAAAACCCACACCCAGCGAATTGAGACCACACATCAGTGATCGCACTCCACCTATCTAATTTCAACATTGACCAGAATATTCTAATTTTATTTATTTATGTTTTATCTTGTTAGAGATAGGATCTCACTGTCTCCCAGGCTGGAGTCCAATGGCAGCAACATAGCTCACTGCAGCCTCCAACTTCTGGGAGCAAGCAATCCTCCTGCTTCAGCCTCCTGAGTAGCTGGAACTACAACCACACGCCACCATGCCCAGCTGATTTTTTAAAAATTCTGTAGAGATGGGTGCTTGCTATGTGGGTAAGGCTTGTCTCAAACTCCTATCCTAAAGTGAACCTCTCACCTGGGTCTCCCAAAGTGTTAGGATTACACACACAAGCATGGCACCCAGCCAATGCTAATTTTTAAACCTGAAGAACAATAAGAACCTGAAAACATTGACTTACTATATTGGCAAAGGCAAAACGAGTCCCTTCAAGATGTCTGGGGTGAAATCTCTCTGACTTTGGCTAATGAGTATGCCAGGAGTCAGACCCCTTTCAAACTCTGGCTAGCACCACCACTGCCAAGATATCTTTAATGCAGTTGATGCTTTTGGCAACAGGTTATGACACAATTGCTCTCAAATGTAGCAAAGCTCAAGGTAGACACACAGCAGGAACACAGGAAAATCACTGGAAACAGTTTGAGATGGTGCCAGTGTTACCCAAGCTTTGAGAAGCCAAAGGTGCTGCCTACCTCTTAGGTTAAAGGTGTCCAAATGCCCTTCATTGTCTTATTTGCATGGACATTTTTAATCTTAAACTTTCTTGCATTAAAAAAGAAAAAAGTATAGCACATGCCCTATGGTTACAAACAGTATGGAGATGAAGACCAGCGTGCCAAACTGCTGGGGCTGTGGGGCCAGCATGATGAGGATGGAGTAGTGCGGTCTGATATAGTCTGGCTCCGTGTCCCCACCCAAATCTCATCTTGAATTGCAATGTGAATTGTAATCCCCATGTGTTAGAGGGGGGACCTCATGGAAGGTGCTTAGATCATGGAGGTAGTTTCCCCCATGTTGTTTTCATGGTAGTGAGTTCTCATGAGACCTGATGGTTTTATAAGTGTCTGGCATGTCCCCTGCTGACACTCATTCTCCTGCTACCCTGTGAAGAGGTGTCTTCCGCCATGAAAATAAGTTTCCCGAGGCTTTCCCAGACATGCAGAACTGTGGGTCAACTAAACCTCTTTTCTTTATAAATCATCTAGTCTTGGGCTATGTTTCTTAGCATTGTGAGAATGGACTAATACAAGGTCGATAGGTAGTTCAGGGAGCACTGCACACCGTTCATAGCCCCTCGATTCACTTTTGAAATGTTCTCCTGGAGCAGCTGTGAGGTCAAAGGACAAGAGGCTGGCAGGGCTGCAGTGTAGGATAAGAATGAATGTGAATAGAAGTCAGAGGACCTTGGTGAGAATTCTGGTTCTGGCATTGACTGTTGCCTTGGGTACTTTTCTGTTGCTCAGTTTCCTCATCTGTGAAATAGGAATATTTCAGGTGCTATCTCATTGGAAGATTCTATGATAGTACTATAAAATGTATAGCCCTGGCTGGGTGCAGTGGCTCACACCTGTAATCCCAGCACTTTGGGAAGCTGAAGCAGGTGGATAATCTGAGATCAGGAGTTCAAGACCAGCCTGGCCAACATATGAAACCCCATCTCTACTAAAAATATAAAAACTTAGCCAGTGTGGTGGTGGGCACCTGTAATCCCAGCTACTCAGGAGGCTGAGGCAGGAGAATTGCTTGAACCCAGAAGGCGGAGGTTGCAGTGAGCTCTGATTGTGCCATTACACTCCAGGCTGGGTGACAGAGCGAGACTCCATCTCAAAAAAAAAAAAAAAAAAAAAAAAGCTGTGTAGCCCTGTGCCTGGACATCTGAACATGGTAGTAACTGTCATTATTTGTGGCATTATAGTTATCTTTTTGAATCACCATCACCACCATTATCATCGGATGCACTCTAACTTCATTTGGGGGTATTTATTTATGCCCCCACTTTATTACAAAAAATGTTTAAGACAAAAAGAAAAGATTGAGCTTCAAATGTAGTTCCAATTTAGATTTTTCCTCTTCCTTT